CATCAAGGCGGAATTTCTCCTTTAAACCCCAACAGCTCCTTCCATCCCTGGAGCTGCACTCGCACCCCGCGGTGGTTGTGGTATTTTTTTGAGGTGCCTTGCTCAGTTTCTCCTCCATCTCACGTTGGCATCTTGGTGTTGGGAGGAGTGAGGGTCCCCCCGGGACGCAGCATCCCCATCTGCTCGTCAGGAAGCTCTCCCTCCAGCAACAGATGCTGTTGTTGTCCTGCACCATCAATCCCTCTCAGGAAGGGACAGGGATTAGCTGGGGGTAACGTGTCTTAAGGTAATTTCTCTAAATGGCATTTTGCTGCTGGGCACTGGTGGGGGCTGAGGGGCTACCACTCACTGCAACCCCCGGGCCCCATGTCATGGCACAGATCTTGCTGTGGTGGCCACAGTGGCTACAAGTCCCATCCTTGACCCAAAGCAGATGGAGGTGTGGGCAGCAGTGAGGACTGAGAAGTCATGTAGGTAAGGAGAACCCTGTGCAAAGGTACCACATTCAGTGCTTTCTTTTACATTCCACCAGGCAAGCAGCTAAAACGATGGATCATGAGCAGTGCAGGCACCTGCTACACAGAGAGAGAGGGAGGCAATGACCCTGGCAGCTCCTCATCTAAATAAACACCACCAGAGGCTGCATTTTGCTTGAAAAACATTTAGGCAGAACAATGCCCCAGGCAAGTGAGAGGAACAAAATCCTGTTCTCAAGGGTTTTAGAGTAGAGAGGGGTTTTCCATCTCCAATTTTAGTATTGTTTTATTTCATCTCAAATTTCTCTGCATCCCAGCAGCGAAGGGGGAACAGAAGGAGCTTTTCTGCTGGACTCAGCAGCATGTCATCCAGACAGACCTGGCTGGGAACACAGGTGCTGAGTTAAAGGATGATCCTGTGCAAAATCTGTCCCTAAGCGAGGTGACTGTTCCAGACCTGCTCCAAGGAGGTAGTGGCAGGGCCAGAACCACATCTGGAAAGTGGACCTGGGCCCTGCTGACAGGAACTGCTCTGTCAGGGCAGCAGCACTTCCTTGCTTACAGCCAAATGCTCCTGTCCACTGTGCCCTGGGCACAGGTCCTGCCTGCACATCTGATGCCTCCTGCTCCCTCACAAGGCCCAGCTACTACGGCAGCTACCTGCATAATGCTCTCCAGATGGTCTCACTGCCCCACTGCCCTCCCTCCCCAACTATTGTTTGCAGCTTTTCCTCGACAAGGGATCCTCACTTCACTTGAATCTCTGCATTACCTTGAGCTCTGAGGTAAGTATATGGCACACCTATAGGCAGTGCTCACAGAGCTGCTGACTCCTTATGATTGATCAACAATGGAGTCATTAATACTCTTTCAGAGGTGTCCAAGTTGTGGTTTGTGATGGTCTCCATCTCCTGCTCTTCTCACACTTCCACCTTGTAGCACACGTAGAGTTCAGATTTGTTCCCATACTCTGCAGATTTGGAAGTCCCCATCTTCCAGCATCGCTTGGTGTAAGTTCACTTCAGATGAAGCTCAGTGATTGCTCCCCAGATGCCCAAGCTGCTAAACTTCCCTTTTAAGCAGGTCAGCAGCTATGTGCACCCTATCAAGGCAGGTTTAGCATTTGTTCTCCCATTTCTTGCTGCAGAAGTTGGCCCAGTTCCTGTGGGGAGGACAGAGACTGAGGAATATCCTGGATCACAAATCTGCCCTTCATCCCCATGCTTCTATCCAGAGATCAGAACTATTGCAATGGACCTGGAGTTGCTGCACAAGGCTTTTTTTCCAGCTCCTGGGTGGGTTTCCACACAATAAAGTCGCAGCTGAACTGAAAGCATGTGGCTGGCTGCAGCTCACTTACTGCTCAGCTACCTGGGGCTCTTGCTTTCCTGCCTACAGCTGGTGAAGCAGAGCTACAGCTCTGTGAATAAAGGGAAGGCTAGGACAAGTGGGTATGTGGGCCTGGAGCTATGGATGGGATGGTTTGCAGTATGAACAGGTGATTGCAGGCAGTAGAATCTTTACTAATTTGAAAAAATGTCTGCTTTGTCGTTGAGGTGTCTAAAGCAGCACGTGGTCACTGGTGTCACCAGGTCACTAAGGAAGTCTTGCAGGCTCCAGCAGAAAGCCCCTGCCTAACCACCACACAGATGCTGACCTCTCTGTGCACGTTCAGCTCCAAGTGGCTTGTCTCTCCTTCATCTGAAGTTCAGGAGCACATTTCAGGCCCTTCCAATATGTAAGTCTTTGATTTTTATTTACACACTAAGAACTCCTGCTCAGAGGTGTGGTGACACTTGCTGCCTGAGCAGGGATGTGAGACTGGGGAGAAATGAAAAACATTACTTTGCTAAACTAGGTTTAAGAGCAGCTTCAGACTTAAGCTTGTAAGTTTACAGGCAGCAGTGGCATATTACTCCTGGAGCATTCCCTGGGGAAAGACTAGGGAGATTAATTAGCTACCATAAAAACAAGTCTAATGCTACTGAAGTGAACGAGTGTAAATACAATGAAACAGCCATCCTAGAGTAGCTGAGTTTGACTGTTCAGGGGTGATTCATCTATGCAATTGGACTGTGAGAGAGAAATCAGATTCTTAAATTTCTGGTAGTAACTAGAGCACAAAAACATCTTCAATCCTTGGGGGAAAAAATCCTGGGTGGGAAAGGACCTAGTCCCACACAGCCTTTCAGCAACAAGCACAAAGGGAAGGGATGTTTCTGATCAGGCACTACATGAACAAAGGTAGGAACAGCATTAATAGAATTAACACTGGATTTAAAGTTCCAGGTAAGCTTAGAGCTTGTTCAAAACACTCTTCAGGTGGTGCAGCAAATGACTGATCAGCTTCTCCTCTGCTCTGACATGGTCAGCAGATGTGACAGCTGTCACAAACTGTTTGTCCCCTGCCCCCACTATTATGAAAAGACTCGAGCAGACATCCGCCTCCCTGCAGACAGGAGGATCTGTTCTGTAATTTACAGAGGAACAAGGCAAAGCCTGTACCATGACACACTATCGTTTTTACTGTTACCCAAACAGCAGCTGACCAGAACTAGCCAAGACTCGCAGGTTTTGTGCCTGCTGCAGCACAGGGTGGGTAAGCTTAAGTACGAGTTGACAAACAGCACTTAGCTTATCTCCAGAAGAAATTTGAGCACTTCCTCAGCAGATGACAGAGCTATAAATCATGTTATGGATAGTCCTAAAAGTGTCATTAAGACAACTTGGAATAGTTAGTTTGTATTAGCTAAGAAAAATTTTGGCTTGCAGCTATATAAATGAAAAGATCTTTCAGTGGTGTGTGCATTTTGTATCCACCTGAAAAGCTTCCAGCTGTGTTTCAGAAGGGCTAAAGGGTCTAATAAAAGTATCCCCAAGAGCCTTAAACTCTTGAGTTGATTTGTCTGTAAGAACTTAGGGTCTGAAGCTGAACTTAGAAACATCTGCCCCTGTCATGTTCTGGTTTCATGGCATAGGAAGGTTCCTGGTCTAAGGTGTGAGTGCCATGAAACTACCTAACAGCATAGATCATGGGCAAAGTAAAGTTGTTTCCTGTTGATGCTCAGGTGAACTGTCACAGAGAACTAGAGAGTTGGTGGAGGGGGAAGCAGCTGAAAACAATTAAATCATATTTATAGGGTTGGACTGTTTGGGGGGTTGTTGTGCAGCAGGGAGCTATTTTTGAGATTCATTCCTTGCTGTTTAAGATTTGCACTGCTATCACTGGTGTAGGTTACCAGTTTTCTGTTTAACTGTGAGCTTTAGGTTTGCCAGTGGAAGGATAAGCAGACTGAAACTTTGAACAAGAGAGTTCTCTGGGCATGCATTAGTCTTGGTCTCTCCTGCTCCAAACAGTATATGAGATATCCACCTCAATTTTGACTTGGGAAAGGAAATCAATACATGTCACTGAAGAGCTTGTAATACAAGGAGGACAGAGAACTGAGGATGTTGGAATCAATGGCTCTCTGCATTCTGTTATCTAAGACAGTGTGACACAGTAGAAACTGAGCAGCAAGAGCAGAGTATTTAACCAGACCATTTCCCCTGCCCCACACCCATATATCACCCCCCATATGTTTAGCCTATGTAAATTTGAAAACCCCAAACTAACTGCGCAGAATATTCTCTGACAAGCCCAGTGCAACAATTCAGTGCTGAAGAAGCTCTCACCACAGCAATCTCCAGAGCCCTGTGCTCTGGCACTTCCTATTTTTGATACAAACGAGATCTGATAGCTCCACACTCCAGCTTTTCCTCTGGCTAAAGGATGTTGTAGTTGCTTTCTAGCAATTTCAAGTGACTTTTCTTTTTGGAGTAGTTTTGATGGGAATGGGCCTTTAAATAAGAAACATCCAAGAACTGAGTCCAGGCAGGGGGGAAAAATAACCTCGGCAAGCTGGGTCAGAACTGAAAGTCTAAGCACCAAAGTCACTCCATCCAGGAAAGGTTAGTGCTGCTCTAGCTGGTGCCAGAGCTGCTGTCAGGCTGGGGGATCTTCCCCATGGCCAGAGGCAGCTGTACACGGTCAGCAGGCCACGCTGAGAGGTTCCTTCCTGCCCCTGTGGAACACAAGGCAGAGCAGACTGACTTCCCACAGAGCCTGCTGAAGCCAGAGAGAAAGCAATCGAAACTCATGGACAAAGTAAGTGGTTTGATGCTAACTTTAGTAAGTAAAGTTTTCCAGATAAAGGCAATTGCATCCATATTTAATAGCTGTTAAAGAGATACACATTTAATTGCATTATATATAAGGAGTGCTTTATATTCAAGAGAAAACATTTCAAGTGTCTTAGTTCTACCTGTTTGTAATCCAGACCTTCTCCCTAGAAGATATTCCAGTTGACAAAAAGGGCCTCGTTCAGATATCTGGGATCAACTGAATACATTTATTTAAAAGCAATTTTAAATATTAAAAAAGTAGAAATTAACACATACAGTACTCAAAAACTGTCACATTAAATACATGTGAATAGACATGTGTACTGATGTTTTACCTTAACATTCAATGAGAAGTCAAGATTTTAACTAGTGGCATGACCAGATCTGATTTCTGTACATGTTGATGTACTATGTAATAAAAAAATAAATAGCAACTGTTGTTCAACAGTAAATAAGACATCATCTGCAGAGCAAACTTCCCCCTCTGGGGGCACCTTCCCCTGCCCCTCCCCCCAACCCTTTATCAGCTAATTTTCCATAAAGATTTAGACTTTCCAAATACTATGTCATATACAAAATTGCAGACAGTGGCTCATTGAGTTCAAATATAACACTGTACTTAAACTCAATCAATATCATACATTTTCAGATTTCTCATGACCCACAATAAGCCAGAATAAACAGAACTATTGTTCCCGATGGAACTAATTTAATTTTATAAAATGCATATGTATACTATTTTAAAGAGCGTAGAAAAGAATAGACATTTGACTCTACATAATTTTACATGCCTAGGTTTTCTTTATATGATTTGCTTTTATCAGTTTATTTCAAGATCACTTAAAAATACAATTGACCACAAAAGTGAATAGGTTTTGTTCTTTTAATGCAACTTAAAACATTGTAGTAACGGATAAAATGGAATGCTAAATAACTGCTAAACCTGACTTCCTTTCCATAAAAACCAGAATAAAATCTGAAATACTGGAGCTGGTAATACTGAAGATTAGGTGCCAGCAGGCTCACTCATTGCATGGTGGTTTTTTGACTAAATTTTGTGTTATACATGATAAAACCATTAACAGTTGATTATTTTTGCCTTTTTTTTCCATGTGGGATTTAGACTGATATTTGTTTCTAAATTAACCACAAACAGAATTAAATATTCACTGACTACAGTCTTGTAAAACTGAATTAGAAATGAAAGACCTCAGAAAGTCTGAGATGTGCTTTTATGAAATGAAAATCTTTCCATGCAGCCAAGACAATCTGCTTTGAAACAGCAGCACTAGGTACTGAAGCCAAAATAACATTTAAAGCAAGAAATACAAAACTACATATGAAAAGTCATGGAACCTGCTACAGACAAACCATGGGAGAAACACAACCGCAGGATGTTTCAGAAGTTTAAAAATTATGTTGAAAGTGATGTAGGAAATTAAAGTTTCCAGTAATACACTGAAGTGTTTTCTGGCAATGCGACTTCATACCGACGTTCAAGAAACCTCAGGTCAAATGTAGCCTTCCAAAGATTTTCTTAGAAATTAGCTGGATAAACAGTTGTCTGTTACTTGGTGCTTTGAGTTACAACTGTTACTGTCGCAGCTGAGTGAACTCTATGGAAACAGCCTGATACTTGAGATCTGAGCTCTATCCTTAGCAGCCTGATCAAATGCAAGAGAGGTCATCTTAGCTTCCACCTTTTTAGAGCATCAAAAGTAATTTAAATTTATCCTTATATCACCACGTAAAAATTGTATTTTAGGTAACTAACTTTTAGCGAGGTTGAAGACAGAGGAAAAAAATCCACAAAATCATTTTTCCAAGAGCCAATTTAGCTATAAACAAATACTGGTGCAAGCTCACATTAATCTGAATAGCAAGTAAGTTAAAATGTTCTTTTCCTCAAATGTAGCTACATGACTACAGTACTACTTTTGTACAAAGGCAGGTTTCAAGTAAGCGTCTAAATGCATGCATAATGTCAACAGTTAACATCTGCTAGAAGTCCTTGGTCACTAAGAACTGAGTGAAAGAAACCAGCAAATTTCACATATACCTACTAAAGAACAATATGACTAATTGTCATTAAAATAAGTTTTCGAATGAAATAAATTTGTAACCTTTTATAGTGAGGTAATATCACAGGGGAACTGCAATCACAGTTTGGCATAGGTCCACATAATATAAACATGAAATGCTGTATGCACACTGTAAAACATTACTGTTATCTGTAGAGTCAGTGAATATTTGTCTTCATAATTACACTTAACTGAGCACTATATTAAATAAATACCAAAGTGGGTTTCATAGCTGTAAACTGCATACACTTATAAACTGCAGACTGAGTTTTAAATTGTCCAAAACCATTCACTCATTCTAACTTTCTGCTAGTTGTATATTGAGAATACCAAGTTATTAGGAACAGTCATTTCTGTACAGTTACATGGTTGATGGAGACCACCTGTGCTGGGAAGCTGGCAGTCCCCAGGAGAGGGACAGCACGGACAGAGTTGGAAGTGCTAGATGCCGAGGATGGCTTCAACAAACCCAATAAGGCGTGCCAGGTTCCAAGGCTACCATAATACTGGCAAAGGCAGAATAACACAGTATATTTACAATACATAGAATTCAACCTCATGAGGTGAAACTTAAATGAATTCTTAATCTGTAACAGCAGCTATATATACAATTGTGCACAGGATTACAGGGAGGCAGCAGCGTTCGCTTTTGCTAAAAAGCCCGTCTTGCATGAAGAATGTGCAATGCTCAAGTTTAGGATTTGTTTGTTTGTTTTTACTAGTCTGACAGAATGTGCACAAAGGACACTGGAAAGACCCCTTTCCTCTCTGGCTGTCCTTCGATGTGGCCAATCTGCAACACAGGAGAAGAACGTACAAATACAGATGTGCATGTGGACACACAGACCTCATAACTGCATTCACTTCATCCCAAAGCAGCAGTGCTGCTCCCAGAGCCTTTGCAAGCTCTTGGACAGTTTGTAGCAGACCTTAGTTAACATGCCAGTTTGTGTAAAGGAACAAAATGAAAACACACAAGCAGATTAGAAAGAAGACAAATGAAGCCGATTAAATCTAAAGAGAACAAAACTCCCGATTTGGGGGAAAACTTACATACATCACTGGACATCAAAAATCTCACCAAAACAGAAGCTATTTATTTTAATTAACTAAATCAGTCCTGAACGTTTTACTTAAGGAAAATGTCTGCTACAATTGTGAAGTTACTTATGATAATCTGCATATTTCACTTGCTTCAAGTGACCAAAGCCCAGCTATTTTCTCACTGAATGAGTGTGATACCTAATGATTTAGGTGCATACTAGTGTTTTAAAAAACCCCACAGTATTGTCTGATTACGTTGATCATGTACAACTTCCTCCATGTTTTGCATAATGACAATTTATAAAGAAATAGCTAAGAAATTTACTAAAAGAAATAAAAAATAATGGAATCTTTTATATGAACTTTCCATGTTTAAAATGCACAATTATAAACAACTGTCAAGCCGATGGCACTGGAGTAACAGTCCTGACTGACAACACAGCCCTCTTCTCATTCTCCTGCAGTGCTGCTTATACTTGCAGAATAATAGTGTACCTCCTTCCTCTTCCACAGGCTCACAAAATGGGAAGGGGAAACATGCAGGGCTGGCCATTTCCTCTTGGAGAGCCAAATTTTTGAAGCCTATGAGTCAACAGCCCTCGTTTCCCTTCTCAGAAGCACTCAGACTGAAGTGCCTCATGGAACTTGTCAGGCTTGTACCCAAGGGGCTTAAAAAGCCACTTCACAGAACAGATTCAGCAACTAATGCAATGGTAATCAGGGACTGGACGATATGGATAACACAGCAGCTTTGCACTGGGCACTGCTCTTCTGTTACCAGCTTTTCCACACTTCAATGAGTGAGAGGAGACTGTGTAGCTGGAAACAAAACAGCAAAGGTTGTGCTGCACTTCGATTAGGAAATCACAGGCAGCACTGTGATCAGAATTTGTTTTAATCAAATGAAATGTTTCATTTTCTCTGGTAATAATTCTTTGGCAGGGAAGTATTACGTAGCAGGGCTTTGGGGACAGGAGGTGGAGTGTAAAGGGAGGGCTGGTGTTAAAAAACCTGGTGTTAGCACTCGAATCAAAGACAGTGTTCAGTCCAGAACAGGAGCACTGCTATGAACCAGTGCCATGGGAGACACAAAGGGAAAGAAAATGTGATCTGCCTCTCATTTCAGGAGGTAAATCATCAGATTATAACAGCAATTACAAACCATTTTTCAGCCTTCCAGCAACTCCTGTAGCTATAATTTAACATTTCAGGTGAACTGAAGATTATTACAAATCTCATTTTTCACAAAGTGTGTAAAATGGAGTAAAAATCACCACTTCTTCAGGCAATGAAAGGCTAGTGTGCATTACAGAGAGGGACATGTGTAAATACATGTGTTATGAGCCAGCAATAAAGCCAAACCTAGTGCAGATGGTTCCAGCAGACTCTCCCTCCCTGAGAATGGGGGTCTTGGTTCATATGGTTTAGGGCTGGATGTTAACTCAGGCAAAAAAACAACAAAAAACCTACCACCTATAAACCAAACTAACAACAAACCCTCCACATGTGGAAAAAGAGGGTTTCCTATAAAAGTCATGAAGAAGTTATGTGGAACAGCAAAAGGCAAAGATACATACCCACCACTCTTGGTCCTCTTCACCAGTTACAACAATTACTTCTCCTTCAACAAACGTGAGCTCATCATCATTATCTGCCTGACAGTCATAAATGGTCTTCACTCGCCTAACTTTGTTCTTCCCCTAAAAATAGAATGAAGTTTGACATGAAGGCCATGAGGAAAACATATATAGGATATGAACTTTGCCTATTAGTTTTGTTCTATTTTACCAGAAGGTGAAGACTACCAATTGCTTTCCCTGCAATTGGGGACATAAAAATAAGAAGAGCTCTGCTTCAACAAGGATATTAAACAAAATAATAATAAAAAGTTACCTACACAGGTGTAGGTTTCCTTTTTCTTGAGATTCAGAACTCCCAACAGAATTGAACGTGTAGTGCTGTGCTTAACATGTAGCCCTTAAAGAGGCTTTAAGTAACCTCTGCTTCCTCCAGTGAAAACAGTTTAAATAAGCATCTTTACATTGTTCCACTATACAAACAGCTTCTTTCTCCTTTAATACACACTTCATCAAGAAAGCACCATGAACAGAAAATGAAATCCAGTCTCCTCTGAATGTTCCAAGACAAGTAAGGGCTGAGGAAAATGCTGCATTGAAATCCCAGTATTCTTTACAGTTTTGTTTTTGGATCTAGTGCAAAAATACAGTATTCATTGATTTCAGATCTGCTTACAGGACTGGAAATTATTTTCTGAGTGATTTTTCCATCCAAATGTTACTAAAACTATCTCAGTTTCAGATGGCAGTACTATTTTTTGATGATAATTCACACTGGATATTCTCACAGCTCAACCATTCTGAGTCCAAGTATTTTCTAGGTCATACTTTGCTGCATACTGCTAATTCACATGAAAAAGCCTCAGCCATGGACTCCTCCCCAAACATATGTTTCTCACGGCAGGGAAAATTACTTACATTATTTCCAAATAGAGTAACTAAGCAATATTCACAGCAAAACACTCCTGCTACTTTAAATTCCTGTATTTTCATACCCACATTTCTTCAAAACCTACAGTTCCTGCTTTGAACAGAAGTAGTCAGATAACAAGAATGCAAAAACCCAAGAAGAGCAGAAGGAGATGAGAAGCAGAAGGACTGTGAAGGAAAAAGTCAGCAGGTTTAGAGGAATTTGAGCCAAAAGTAACTTTCACAGAGGAAATTTCCTAGGGAGTCTTCTCTTTGCTGTTACCTACCCACTTGAAATTCCTCCCTGTTTTGGCCAAAACCAAAAAATCCCTGCAGCTCAACAGCAGAACAGACACAGTGCAAAAAGCACTCACACTAAACTCAGGGTAGAGGGAAACAACAATTACAGGAGGATCCAAGGCAGAAAGCTGTTAACATAAGACTAAAAAAAACCCCAAATGAACAGAAATACCTGAAGTTCATATGAGATGAAGGGGGTTTTTATTACAGCAAAGGTTTGCTGCAGCAAGGAGTCACTTCAAAGAATGATTCCTCTCTGTTTTTAAAGATATTCATATAATTTGAACAAAAATCTCAACTATCAATAAAGAATGGCCCTTTTGGACCAGCCCCAGCTTTCAACTCCAGAGCACCTTTACTGACTAAAAGCACTTCCAATCAATCCTTCAGTGATGAAGGGAGACAACTACTTGTGCCAGGTAAAAATTGTCTCGTTCAATAAAGTGAATAAAGAAATTTACATTTCTCTAAACTTAGAGCACTGTATGCAACTCAGCTTGTAAGAGCACAAGAAAAATGATGGTAATTGCTCCTGGTTCCATCAGATTATGCCACAGATGAGATTTTAACATTCTATTCCTTTCACAGAGAGTGGTACAAAGCAGAATTCAAGCCCAAGGTGTATTTAACCGTGGGAAGGTCTAAAAAAAGGATGGATCTGAAGAGAGCACATATGTTCCAGAACACAGTTTGGGGCACTGGTGTGTAAAGAACTAGAAGCAATTCCAGGAAATGTAATCTGTGACTATGAAACAAATACCATGACCCCCCATCAAGTCCTTGTATCCAACAAGTACTTATTAAGGTTTTATGCTTAAGACTGAATGGTAACGAGATGCTGTGATTACTAATAATCCTTCCATGCTCTTATTTACATTCAACACTTTAAACAAATAAGTATTTTGTCTCCCTTATAGAAACCAACACACACACACACAAAAGAACAGTCGAGTGCTCAGTGTGATTTCAGAACCACTCAGAGCAAGTTTCCCTTTTCTAAAAATATCCTTTCAAATCCTTATAGATTATCAGCATTGGAATTTTTAACTTCTATTTCTGAACGACTGATTTGCTAAAACTTCCAATAAAACAATTTATGCCTCTCTATTTAGTGGCTAAATAGTCAAACCCAGGAGTGAAATACCCACAAGTACTGGTGGCTGCTGTTGCTGGTCTTGCTGCTGCACTGGGATGTAGCATTTCACCAGTGCAGAGAGGATACAGCCAGAGGAAGAAATGGAGGCAGGATACATTTAAGAGGAATTCTTGCACATTATTACTTGAGCAAAAAGACTGCACTGAGCAAGAGGAGATACAAGTGTGCATGCAGTGGTGTGCAGAAAACTGGGAAGTGATTATCACAGATGTGTAATAGTTTTGAGCACTGCACGACAGTGAACTATTGAGTTTACTGCACCTGTGAAAATGGCTGAGCTTGGAGAACCCTGAATCTTTCCTCAACATTCTTCTGTAGGATGTAGGGTGACAGTTTAAAAAAAACCAAACCAAACCAAACAAGTAATCCACTATTTGCTTTCTTTTCTTCTTTAATAGAGTGACAAATAGCTGAGAATGTCCAGCATCATTTGCCTGTTTACATTTAAAAGTACATAAGTTAACCAACTGTACTTGCTGACACCTTTTGATCAGATCCCTGTAATACTTCATCTCCAGAACACTCAGGAAAGCCAAAGCAACCACACTGTCATTCTCAGTTCATGACAGGAGCTTACAGGCAAGTCCATGCCAGAAGCCAAGCAGAGTGATAGCTCCAGAATGTTCTTCCTCAGACAAGCATGAGGCAGAAATTCACCCTCTGCTTTCACCACATGAATGGAAGTCTTATTTCCTTTTACATAAGTTCTTTGCATAGCCACTCTGACAAAACCATCCCCTTTCTGATCTATTTTTCATGATGAAAATCTTAAGAGAGCTCTGTAGTTTCATAAAATTATTTCATTCTATATATGCTTAAAGACTCCTCTGTTGGGAATTTCACTGGTTAGCCAGATGAGCAGAGATGAACTGGGGGTTGGAATCGAGTTAAAAGTTCCAGCTCTGCTACTACACACCATCCAGCAATGTCAGTTTTGCCACTTCAGCAATGCATCTGAAGCTGTGGTAACCCCCTCAGTACATCAGCATTAGACACTCGTGACAGAACATTTACAACTTTGTTACAGTTGACTTTGCTTTAAATTTTGCACCTACCCACAATAGGTACTAACATCGCTTCTTAAAGCTTACAGGAATCAAATATATAAATATTCTAGCAATCTAAGGCTACAAAACAGTGAGCAAAGGCAACAGACAAAACCACCAATTCGTTTGGAATTATGACTGGCACAGATAAAAATGCCCAAGGCCCCCAGTAAATCTAAATATACTGTCATGCTCCCAAGGTTATTGCTTTGTGCTATGAGTATTTGTTTCAGCACACAGGAGGCTTCATACACCCCCAGCATTTGCTGAAGCTGCCTGGGGCACAAAAAGAGCCCCACATTCCCCACCCCAGCCCATAATGTTATGTTGCTTTCTGTGCACAGCTCAAGGGTGTACACAAAGTCCTACAGTAAATTCAAAGCCTTCCATTGATACTTCCAGCTAGCTGGAGTACTACCTACCATATTTATTTTCCTGGGGAGTGGCACAGGGGTTTCTGGCAGGGTGTGTGTGATGTCATTGGACTCTTCAGATGGTTGCCTTTGGACGGTGTCTCGAGATTGTACGTTTGGAGAAAGATCTATGGAGTGAGATTTTTGATTTGCTTCTGAGGGCTGAGGCTTTGGAGCTGCTTCTCCACCTTGAGTTTTAGCCAACATATCTGCTAGCTGAGGTTTTGGAGGAAGGTCCTTCATTTGTGGCTTTGGAGGTAAGTCTCCAAGCTGTGGTTTTGGTGGCAAGTCTCCTAGGTGAGGCTTTGGGGGTAGTTCTCCAGGCTTTGGGGGTAAATCTCCCACTTGAGGTTTCTGAGTTAATTCCAGAGGCAGAGGCTTTGGGGGCAAGTCTCCAGGTTGTGGTTTCTGTGGTATATCGATAGACAGTGAGGGCTTCTGAAACATTTCCATGTGCTGATGGGATTTATCTATTGAAAGATGATGACTGGTTTCTATTTTCCTTAGTGCCACTAAAATAAAAGAGCAAAAAAATGTTTTTCACAATCTCATTTTATTATTAAAGAAGTCAGGCACATACCAAGACTGCAACTGTGTAAACGATCACATTGCCACTCAGGCCCTTTACTGCCCAGAAATCCTCCTAGTCTATGACAAAAGCAAAATAATATGACTTTATGTAACCCTTGTTCACAGAGGTCTCGCTTAATTGGTCCTCCTGGAAGTCAGCAATGCTTATTGCAACAATACTAGGTGTGAATTTATAGACTATCTACTTAAAATGGAATAAAGTGATTGCTTTTTGGACCTAGAAAAAAAAATTCAATAGAAAAGATGTATTTTGCAAAACAACCTACAGATCCAGATATAACTGTAACAAAAATGGTCTTAATGACCATTATTCATTATAACACTGAATTCCATACAAAAAAAACCCCTCTTGAGTCTCAGGATTAGTACCTGCAAAATCTCACACAAGAGACCAAATGAGCATGTGTGTCTACGCAGTGTATAGAGTAAACTGTACTACAGAATTCAAACTAAAACTGCTAAAAAACTGAATTGTTGCAAATATTTACAATTTAGTAAAGATGAAAAGTTTTAAAATGTGTATTTTGCAGATTTCATGAAAGGAAATTGAAAAGAGCTTTCCACACAGGTTTTTTTCTGTCATGTATTGATTCCACTGCTAAGTTCCTTAAGAAAACTTGACTTAATCTACCTTAAAAACAAAACCATAAGAATACAACAAAAAACACCACAACCAAACAACCCTAATGTTATAACAGATGAAGGGGGACTGGAGAGAAAAAAGTTACAACCCATGAAGAAAGCAACACATTTTCACTAGAATGAGTATTTTCTTATTGTAGTCAGCATTGCTGTACTATGATATTCTACCAGCCAAAAAGGTGGCCTGAAAGCAACAACACTCCCTTTGGGTATCACCCACTGCAGTAAAACTTCTGTGCTATATTTACGGTTACTTACACTAAACAAAACAAAAAAAAAACAAAAAACCAACAACAACAAAAAAAGAACATTTTGCATAGTTTCCATGAAGGAAATTGTATAGATACTGTCACACGCCTCATGTTAAAAATTGTCTGTGTTGACACCTGCATATGGCTTTGTCTCCAAGACTTACCTTGTAGCAAAGGTACCTCCACTGATGATGCACATGGGTTGAGCCTTAAATCATACGAAAACCCCTGACAGTATCCCTTATCAAAGTGCTCTGATTTGGCCTATCTGAAATTTTCACCTGCACCATCTGAATGGAGGAAGTGTTAACTTCCTTTGCAGTGGTGCCTTGTGGTGTCACTGGTGTCTCTTTCAAAAGATGTTACCATGCCATGATAATTGTAATTTAACACAGTTGAAATTTCACATTTTCAATTTCTGTTAAAATGATTTGCACTCTCAGTTTCAGTCATCTAGCTTCAGGAGTCTGGACAAGCAGCATTTCCTGACCTTCAGGCTCTGTCATGATCATCCTCTCATAACATACTTTTTATGGATTCTGTATCAGACAGAGCTACAAAGTAGGTCTGCTTTCAACTTTACAGTCAACTGCTGTAAGAACTGCAAAAACCTAAATAAAACCTGCTGAATGAGAGACTAGAAAAAACATTTCTAAAAGAAAAGGCCCTAAGGTATTCCCTGGGATGATGGTCTCAGCAAGTCAGTCACTGCTATACAAGTGAGCATGTAACAGTACCTGATTCTTTTCAAAGCAGTTATAGGGGCAACAACCCTGATTGCCAGGACATGACATGGATACAGCTTGCTCCAAGGGTATCAAGATATTGGACTTAGAGATACTAGGAAGAAAAAAGAATTCACCAACGAGAGTGGTCAAAGATAGAAACGTAAGCCCAGAGAGGTTATCCATGGAGATACTCAAAATGTGACTGGACATAACCTTGAGCAGCCTCTAATGACAAAAGGTTGGCCCTGCTCCCAGTGGTGGACTGGGCCACAAGACCTCCTGAGGTGTCTTCCAACTTCAGTTAGTTCATGTTTGGTTCTTTTTTCTGCTTTCCTCCTTATGATCCATAAGTCTAACTATTTTTTTGAGTTTAGTAAAAACCTTCCTCATCTTCCAAAAATCCTTAAAGTTTTGCAAAGTTTTCATGGTTTATGGCACTTCAGAAATAGAACTTTTGCTGAAAAGATCCATATATTTATAACAAGTATCTATTCTGACCCACATATAAGAGATATCATTATAAGAATAGCCACAAAGAGAAATCTTACCTTTCTGAGGTAGTTTGGGAAGAACTCTAGGGCCAAGTGCAGTCTTTGCAGACCCAGTGCTAAATCAACAGATGTGAATTATTAGTGCTTACAACTGTTATAAAATATAATTATTTCTCATTTCCCCTCTACACACCCATAATTAACCTCCCCCCAACAAATCGACATTTATTTTGCTTCTTTTGTATAATCATCTTGTCTGTGGATCAATCCTGAAACTCAAAGCACTGCTAAGAATTAATTGGTTTTTTTAGAGAAAAAGACATACAAATCCCAAGCAGCTTCGATGCTGTGGGGGCAGATACATTCTACAAACTATGGTATGTGCAAAATGTACTCTGAAAATAGGTGAAGCTGACAGACCAGCTCTGTGGGCAGATCCTGAACTTTAGGGAAAATTTGTTCTTTAAAATAATGATACTGAAGTATTCAAAACATGGTCTGTCCTTTATGTCAGTGGTTTGAAGTTTTCCAGGACAGCCTGTGCCTTGTAGCCTACTGCACATGTATGATACTGTATCACACACACTGCTGCTGCTGTAGGAGGCAAAGTCTCTGCTACTCCAAGGAAATACTGATGACTGTAGGAAAACAACAGTTTTTGCTCTGTCAACCTGTATCTGTGTTAATCAGAGTGGTGAGCAACAATACAAGCAGGAGTTGTGAGTAATTTAATTACAGCGTAAAAATCTGAGATAAGTTGCATATTGTTGAAGTTTTCCATCTATGTTTTTTGTTGTAGACAGTTTTTTTCAGAATTAACATCAGGCCAGCTCAGATTTGCAAACGTGTGAGGACAACACATGTTACAACTTTGAACAAATCCCACCAAATCTTTTCTTCTAAAACCTAAGTCACTTTTATGGAAAAGGACTTTGGGAGAAGAGAAGAAAGCAAATTAACTTAAGTCATAAAAATCAAACAATAAATAGTATGTAAGTATCTGCTCAAAATAATGACTTGAAAAACATGTAAAATTAAAACTGAGTAAGAAAACTGCCAGAGTATGTTCAACAGAGCAGAGTCTTCTGCATCGACAGCCTTGATTCTGGTATTACTTGTCTCTGCAGCCAACACTTCAAAATGAGCACGAGGAAACACTTCTAGTTTCCTAGCTGTTTTTTAAATAGTCAAAACATATGATAACACAAAACTGAAAGAACAGCCATGCTCAATCTTGACTCACTAGATCATAGAATATCCTGAGTTGGAAGGGACCCACAAAGGTTGTTGAAATCCAACCTTGGCCTTTATCTAATGCCCTGGAGTGCCACACTTGAAGCCTTGTCCAGTATGGACCGAGTACAGGCCCAGCTCTGCGTGGGGAACACCACCAGCTTCCCTGAATGCCCAGTGCACCTGGGTGGATGCAGCAAACATGGCAAGTCAGTTGTGCTATGAACAACAGGTCTCCTGCCTGTCCTGACAAGGCAGATCAGAGACCAGAGAGTGCCCAGAAACGACCTACACATCTTCTGCTGTGATCTGTTTGACGTTACACTCCCCTCTCTAGTCACAGCCTGATCACACACACTTGTGGCCATGCAAGGTCAGGGGCCTGAGGCAGGTGTTTATTGAAATTACCCTGCTCTGAACCTCAGGACTTGGGAATCACAGTGCAGACAGAGGAGTAGCAAACAGTAAGTGACAGGAATGTATGGCTGTCCTTACTACTCCAGCTATTGGAAAAGACACTTGTAATGGACAGACCTGATGACCTACGAGCTAAAAGCAGTTTGTGTTACTGCAGACTGTGTGGCAGCACATAAGCTTGACAGACTGGAAAACAGTTAAGCTGGATGACTGAGATGAATTCTCTCCTCCAGAGCCATCCTCAATGCCAGCCTGTACCCAGAGTGACACTGCTGCAGCTACAGGCAAGAGACCTCACCCTGGAGCGGATAAAACAAAATGCCAGGAGACATGAAAATAGAACTTTTGTCCTGCTGGACTGCAGTCTGAGGCAGCATTCCCGAGCTCAGAGAGCACTTCTGTAGGAGCAGCAGAGAGATTGGAGTACAAGTTGTTCTGTCCATCCTGCTCAAAGGGTGGATTGTGCATGGACAGCTAGGAACAAAGTGTAGGAGGCTCAATGAACCCAAAGTATTTGTATGCTAGTGAGGCATGCAGAAAACTAATGAAGAAACATTGCTAAGATTTTATTTCATATGAAAGGCTTTTTTTCCCCCTAATTTACAAATTAGTTATATTGATTTCAATTTTCATATTTGCAGATTTTACCTTGACTGCTGAGACATCCCCTCAAACTTGTTTGCAGCCTTAGTTGAAGGTGGGCCCAAATCATTACCTGAGGTGGAGAAAAGGACAATTAAAAAACCAAAAATCATTAGGAGAACTGAAACATAATCAGCAGAGGATGCAACCTAGAGTGAAACATATATTCCTCCAAGTATCCTCCATACAACATGTCTAAAAGATCATTTAAAAGTTCATTCTTTATTAAATTTTGTAGCTGAAAAAGCAGCAGAGACCATAATAATCCAACATGACCTTTCATACAACACATTTTCAAACAGCTCACTGGTAGCTCACATCTCCTGGCAAGGGAAGATTGAGTGACATTGCTGTAGGGCATTTGTTTTGAAATAGTGTTTCAATTTTCTCTGAATAGAAGGAGAAACTGCATTCCAGCATCAGATACATTTATCACAGCTGTTTACATTTTGCACTGTGAGGCACTTTTTTAAAACCACCCTGAATTTGATTTTATTCACAAAACATGAAATTTCTAAGGATTGATTTTGCTGTGTAAAGAACAGCCTTTTACTGACTTAGTGACTAGGTCTGTATGTTCCCATAACCTGCACGTTAACCACTGGTAAAGGACAGATCCTGGGTGTACTGAATTCTGTCAGAAGGCAGCAAAACCCAAACCCAAGTGCTCTGGACTCTTTCAGCAGAGGAATTCTCTTCCATTAGCCATCACCAGTTTCAAGGTGTAATTACACTAACTCCTTACTGCATTTATCATTCCCCATTGCTTCTGCATGTCTTAACAATCGTAGAACCAACTTCAACAACCATTAGCAAATTTTGTCATTGAAATAGATGTAAAGTGACATTTAATGATCCAAGAACACAAAACACTTCTCATGCAAAAGAATGACACATTTGCCTAAATACCATTCTTAGTGCACTGAAGTCTAAATGAAACAGCAGAAAAAACTCATGTCGAGCCTTGCTAAAAATATGTTTGTATTTAAAAGTGGGGAAAAAAGGGAACAAAGGTAAAGCAAACAGCAAACCCTTCACATGTAGATCCTATGGATAAAGCGAGGAAAAATATCTCATGGTTGCTATGGAAATCCGAAATAATCTAAGTGACATTTTTAGAACATCTTTGAATAGTAACTCAATTTGCTTAGACATGAGATAAGGATTGCTCTGCTTGAAACTTCAATTAATGCACAGATTAGAAAACAAACGCTGAAATTCAACATAACAAGAAATATAACAACACAGAAAAAAAAGCTTCTGAAAGGAAAAGCAGTGAACATCTGACAATATTCTTAAGCCAAAACCACACAGGCAGATACAAGAAACTCCCTCTTTTATAAACACAAAATTTAATACTTGCTTAAAAATCCAAATGGACTTTGAAACAAGTTTTTGTACAGATCTCAGCTAAGAAAAACAGGGAGAAGAGGCCTCTCTTCCCTCCACTGAAGTTTAGCCTGCACTGAAGAGCAGCAAAGAGACAGAATAAACGATGTTCTTCTCTGGCCCTGCCCTGGCAAGGTATTCTACTGCTACAGGTTTCTTCATCTCCAGCTGCATACCTGCACCTTTCACACAGTGTCCTTTTCCTTCATCTGTTGTCTAATATTTTTAAACAGAAGTTGGCACTAGCTTAGCATCTGTTCCTACCACACGTAGTGTTACATTATATTCTAGTACGTGGTACTTCAGGTGCTGTTTTGGACTTCTAAAATGTAAAAAGGCCCAAATATTTAAGTCCAAGCTCTTGAAAATTTCCTTACTACCTCTGAACTAGTACAGCACTGTTGGACTCAGGAACATAGGAAACATTTTTTTCCATATCCCAGAACTCTGAGAAGTAGAGAACTGAAAAAACTGCCATTATTTGTATTGCTTGAGAAAAAAGCTTTACTTTTTATTGGACTCTGTACTTCTCTTCCTATTAAATCTTAGATTAAATCCTAGCCTAAATCACTGCATTTAATGCAATTTGCTGAAAAATATGGTGCTTTTAATCTAGCTTTTTTTTTTGGCTAGTAATTGTGTGTGTATACTAGACCAGAGAGAGGATATCCTAAGGCATAAATAGTAGCAGATATGGATGTTGCCCCTATGCAAACATCAGATTCCAGTTCAAAAATCTACAGATTCATGGAAATCCTGCCACCAAGACTAACAGTATATTAAATTACATGGGCCTGAGATTTATAGTTACCAAGAGAACTTGGCTGCATAAAGCAATGTTTATTGAAAAGAGGAAGAATCTGAGTAGTTTGGAAAAAAGTTTCCAAAAAAGCATGTCAGGTATCCTGTTACAAAAAATAGTTTAAAAAGTGCTGTTTCTGTGCAACTTCTGCAGGTAGAAGGCTGAATACCTATCAGTCTTTGTGTATGTACAGACAACATCACAAAAGCCAAATACATTTTAAGACAACACATTCCCACCAGTGAGGTGTGAACACTTTACAGGAGAAATGTGGCACAGAGCCCAAGGCAAAAAGCTCCTCTGGCAGCCGTGAGATTGATCCAGCTCTGTCTGCCCCAGCCCTACATCCATCTCGATTAATGAGCTGGCCAGAGCAGTAGCAGGGTGAGGAAGCAGAGGCAGAGTAGATGCAGCAGCTGAGGGGACAGGGTGAGGGCAGCCTGGGCAGCTAGGGCAGAGGGAAGGAGGCAGCGGAGGAGATTGGATTGGGCCCCAGGGGAGTGTGGAATATTTTCAGCTTTCTCAAGTGAGACTTGGCTACAGCAGCCTGGAAGCCAGAGTGACAGAAGATAGAACTGCTGATTTATCTGAGCTGACATTAAATCAAGCTGCAATCATTGGAAAGCAAGCACCAGGTAAAAAGAAACCAAAGATCATGTATCATCCATCATCAAGGTTTTCCCCTGCCCTTTTGTTTTGCATTTCAAAACTCACCCCAAGGAATTGGGCCCTTATTCTGGGGTCCATGAGGTAGTGGGCTTGGTGGGTCAGAGAGGGTTCTTTTGTGTCCTGGGGGTGGGGGAGGGGGTCTCTTCTCCCTGCCACTAGAGGTTTGAGTGCTTAGAGGGAGGGTTGAAGGTGGGCCTGCAAAATAACAAACAACCTTCTTACAAATACATGTGCATAAACATCAAAGCAGCACCGAAAAATTCACAGTCAGACCCACAGCGAAGAGCAGCAAAGGACTAAAATAAAAAGACAAGCCATGCCAAAACACTCTTTAGATTAAACGACATGTTCACCACATTTTTAACCATCTCAGCTGTGGGAATATAAGCAACTTGACAATAGAATGACACATGTACTTATGTTTAAAAAATACAGGATTAATCACGCCAGGATTTCTAATTTTAGGCATTGTTACAAACAAAAAATAAAGCAGCATGAAATCTTAAAATGAAAAGTAATATTTAGCACATGGGATTAAAATTACTATTAATTTATACCAGAATGAAACAGCTTTCTAATTGTTCTAGTATGTGGGGAGGTTCTTCCCCCTCCAGAACATCCCATATGAATTCCGTTAATAAACTGGGAGGGGAGGCAGGAAATAGAAATCTATCTACAAATTTTCCTTTCACTTTCAAAATGGGATTTTAAGTGTGAGAAGATTTTCTGTAATTATTTTCCCTCTTTTTTTGTGGTCTAAATACGTCAAACTATGTATTCTATGAGCAATGCAAATTGTTGGACAAGGTATATATAAAATAAACATCAGAGAAGTCCTTTCTCAAACTGAGATTAGATATTTCATGGTAGCATTGCTTATAAGAGCTTATACAGTCATCTCTACCCTTAACCACTATTATTTCCCCCTGAATTAATGTTGGTACAAGTACTATTCAACACAATGCATGTTTTACAGGATATGGGAACAGATACAGATTGACAAAATAACCCAGAAGGAAGACAAGAGTTTTCCCTAATCAACTTCACCACTGACCTTCAAAAAGGCCTCTGCAGGAAGCTCCAGGAAGGAGGCAGAGCAGGGCACAGATATGCAGTGTGGGGACAACTGCTCGAGTCAGCTGCCATTCCTGCCCAAAGAAATTACTCCTAACACTCATCTAAATTAGTTCTACATTAGGTTAGAGCAGCGCAGAGGGGCTTTGTGGTTGGGGCCTTTTTTTTTTTTGGTTACTTTGTTGGTTTGTTTTGTCTTTTTTTTTTTTAATCAAACCAACAACTAAGGCTCCACCACAGTCAGAACCTTGCATTAAGGTTTGCAAGTCAGACACAAAACTTTAAAAGCAAAGTCTTTTTATACCTGAAATTTTAAGTCTATCGCTCCACCACAGTCAGAACCTTGCATTAATTTTTGCAAGTCAGACACAAAACTTTCAAAGCAAAGTCTGTTTATACCTGAAATTTTAAGTCTATCATCTGTTTCGTAGCACTGTAAAACTAACTTGCCTATTTTTTAAAACCTAACTTATTTAACCAGTATTTGAGAGAAAATCTTCATTTAGCTAATCAACATATCCCCTACCCTGCAGAGCACAAAACCAGAGCTGCCTCTTCAAAAATATTTATGACCATTCTCTATAGGCAGACTGAAAATTACCAAAGCTTGCATCCCTTCCCACATTATTATATAAGTAATAAAATCAGTGAATAATAATGTTTGTTAAAACTCCTTAGGTGAAACATTAATCATTGACAAAAGTAACTTCAGTGATCCTATATGCATGGGACTGTTTGCCAGTTATCTTCAGCAGGTGACCTTCCTCCTCCTTCTAAACCACAAAGAAAAGATTAATAGAACTGCCCATAATGAGGTAATAATTCAATCTATTCTCTCCCAGATTCAAGCCTGGAAGGCCTTCTGCTGCACAGGAGAATCTCTCAGCCACAAGCCCAGCAGGTACTTTAGGCCTAGCTTAATTAATCGGTTACTTTTGTGAATCAAATTATAAATTTTATGATTGCTCCTCTCAATTTATTTCCAAGTTCACAAAACCATTAACTGACAAAAAGTCAAATCTCAGTGCAAATTAATGATTATTTCCCAGTTTGCATCCTTATCCTTTCTCATTTTAATTTCTTCCTTGAACTTAAAAAAAGCAAGATAATTTAAACGGCGCATTGAGATGTTTCTGAAA